CATCTGACCCTCCTGTCCATACTGGGTCTTAGTCTCCCTTTGCTCTTTTTTGCTGTCAAACTGGGCCCCACCCTCCCCCATCTCTGCTCAGTTCATGCTTTCTCCCAGCCACAGGGCAGTCTCCTTTCCTTTTCTATTTCCTGTGAATGTATGCAGAAGGCCTGACCTGTGTTGCTGTACACCAGACACTCATAGGCTGAGGAAGGTGGGGGTGTAGGTTTAAGCATTTGTACAAATTGACTTCAATCTCTAAACACCCAGCAAAATGTTCTTCTGACCCCCGGGGCTTCACATACTATTTAGTTCTCCTAAGTGCAAATTAATGGCCTTCTCAGACTCTGATGTTCTTCCCTAGAAGGATAAGAGTGATTAACTGGCAGTTACTTTATGAATTCTGCTGTTCTGTCAGTGACTTAAGATGGATCACTCTGCTAAAAGGAGGATGTCAGTTCTCACTGCTAAATCAAGACATGCACCTTTTTGTTAATAGCCACTGTGGGTTCAGCATTGCTGGAGCCTGGCTGTGCATGTCCTTCTCTCGGAGGTAAAGGGTACATGTGGGTAGGTGGCATGTAGAGAGGAATATAGTGATGTTTTTATTTATAAACTTTTCTTTATATAAAGCATTTATTCTCGTTCTCTGTCTCCCTCCCTCCCTCCTCTTCTCTCCCTCCCTCTCTTTCTCTCTCTGTCATTATATCCATTCTGGAAGTAAATTGATTGTGTTTCTTTTTTTTTTGTCTTTTTGAGACAGGGTTTCACTATGCAGTTCAGGCTGGTCTTGAGCTCACTGTGTAGCCCAGGCTGGTCTCAAACTCGCAACAACCCTCCTGCCTCAGCCTCCCGAGTGCTGGGATTACAGGCGTGCGCCACCACGCTCAGCTCCAGTAAATTGATTTTTATAGGCAAAAACTGAAGGAACAAGAAGGCAGGGGCCTAGGACTATATAGAAGTTAGTGAATAATCTTAAGACATGCTGAGAAGGACCTTGTACATCAGCTAGTCTAACAACTCATTTTATAGGTGAGGAAAGTAAGATCCAGAATTCTGAATTTCCACATTTCGTATAGCAGACATGAGCTCTGGATTCAGACCTCCTAACTCCAGTGCTCTTCTTTCATTTTGATTCTTACTCCTTTCCATTTTTCTTCCCTTCCTCTCCAGCCTATTCTCAAAGTTCCTGGGTTCTTCTAGGGTTTATATTTCACTGTGAATGTATGCTAAGACTCTAATGTTTCACCGAACAGAGGGTGCTGCGCTCATCACATGTCTTCACGTGACTTGCTGAAGTCCTGAAGAATATTCTAGGACATTCTTATCTTGACAGACAACCTACACCTGTATTTAAAAAGTGTTTATATAGCATCAGCTTTTACTGTAGTGATATTTAAAAATTGACTTTTAATTTAGAAGTAATCAGTATAAACTTAGGAAGCCTAAATAATTATTTGCACTAGGAACAACAACAAAAATACGGGGCATAATGGCACACATTTGTAATCCCAGCACTTGGGTGGCTGAGGCACGATTGCTGTGAGTTGGAGGCCAGCCTGGGCTACATAATGAGTTTGAGGCCAGGCTGAACGACATAGTGAGACCCTGTCTCAGAAAACAAAAAACAATAACAAAACCCCCATGATATTTAGAACATGCTAAGGAGAAACTGGTGCCCACCCATGTAGATTCTAGCATGAATGGTTCACTTTGCCTTGATGGTATGTTTTATAGATCTGTTTGTCTTCGTATTCAAAGATCATTTAAGTTGAAGATCATTAGCTTTTATAGAACTGTTTCCACTTCCCCATATCAGTTTGCCCATTGGAAATCTGAGCATCCTTAGTGGAACTGCTCTTCTTCACTTCAGTCTCAACTTATTTCACAGTTCCTTTGTAAAGACTAATAGGTCTACCTTGATTTAGGAATGCAGGTGCAGCCGGGCATGGTGGTGAACGCCTGTAATCCCAGCACTCGGGAGGCTGAGGCAAGAGGATCATTGCAAGTTCAAGACCAGCCTGGGCTACAAAGTGAGCTCAAGGCCAGCCTGAACTGCATAGTGAAACCCTGTCTCAAAAAGACAAAAAGAAAAAAAAAAAAGGAATTCAGGTGCTCAGTAAAAGTCATAGGTAACTCAGATATTTTTTCTTCATAAATAACAGGTTTATATTGTACCTTTAAAAGTGATTAGTAGTGTTAAGTGTGGTGGTGCATGCCTCTAATCCCAGCACTCATAGGAGCTCAGACGGGAAGATTGCTGCGAGTTCAAAGCCAACCTGGGCTACATAGTTAATTCAAGGCCAACCTGAACTGGATAGTCTAAAAAAAAAACCAGCAGAAATATTCCAGTTTTCATTATCCTTTGCTTCTGTTATGCATGTGGTGTAAAATCATCTGAATGCAGTGTAAGATGAAAGAGACCTCAGAAAATACCTCCTAGTCTAGTCCTTAATATTGTGGATATAGATCTGACACTGAGAAGAGAAGGCTTCTGCTCAGGGTTACCAGGCAGGTGATGAGAACCACACCCCACCCTCACTGTTCCTTCCACTGCATCATCATGGACTTAAGAGAGAACAAGAATATTATTGAAACTTCTTTTTCCCCTAAAAGCACCTTTTCCTTCTCATTAACAAAAACTGAGGAATATCAGGACTGTTTTTCCCCAAGAAATTTAAACTTCTTTTATAAGCCTTACTACAGCCATTCTGGTAAGCAAAAGTTCTTTGTTCACTCAGTCTGATACATGTTTTAGTAGACGTTTATTAAGGCACTAAACTTAACTGCTAGCGATACAAAGATGCTTCTTGCCTTCCAGAAAATTGCCTTGTAGTTGTATTTAAATCACACTGAAAGCCCTTTAGGGTGGTAAAAATAACATCTTCTGTGTTTTATTCACATAATGATTGCTAAGGCAGATAGAGAATTCTAGTTTCCTGCTCTACCCCATCTTCCTACCATCTAGGAGTAATTTGTGCTAACCCATAACTGCCTTCAGGGTGTACATGGAACAGACTCAGGCTTGCTAAAGTGTGTGCTCTCCTCCTGTGTTGTCAGCCCAGTACCAGCGTGGTTCATGTCTGCACCTGTGCTTCCCCTGCCCTTTGCTAGGTATAGCCGAGACTATGTGGTGGAAGGGGAGCCATATGCCGGTTATGATAGACACAATGCAGAGGTAGCAGCCTTTCACTTGGACAGGTGAGTATAATCCTGATAGTCTGTGTCCACTTCGTTTCCTTTTAAAATCAATCAGTCTCTCCCTTCTCTCTGTCTCTGTCTCTGTCTTTCATAGTACTGGGATTGATCCCAGGGCCTTGTACATGCCAGCAGTCACTCTACCGCTGAACTACATCCCCAGCCCTTTTAAAAATTTTATTTTGAGACAATCTTGCTAAGTTTCCCAGGGTGGTAATCCTCTTGCCTCAGCCTCCTTAATGGCCAGGGTTACAGGCATATACCACCATGCCAGGCAAAAATCTCCCTAGAGGACTTGTGAACTCTTTTTAAAGGGGACATACCAGTAACTTGGAATTGTTACCTATTACAATCAGCTATTTTGGATAGCTGATTGACTAATTCCATTACATTTATATGAGTCCCTTGTAATTTGGGTGACACTCAGAATACCAAGTAAATATTTTAACTTCAGACTCTTTGTTTCATTTCACTGCTGGCATGCTTTCTATCATTATCCTGACTGAAGATATTCTTGGTAAATAAAATGGCAGGATGAAAAGCAAAGTTTGAACTCATGTTCCTGAATTGAACTCATGTTCCTGAATTGAACTAACTAATTGGGAATTGGCAGTCCTGTTGTTTGTTTTGTTTTGTTGTAATACTGACATATCCCCATATACTGGAAACATCTATCCGGAAATAAATGAGTCTTGGGGTTGGGGATATAGCTCAGCAGCACAGCGCCTGCCTGGTAAGCGTGGGGTCATGATTTCGATTCCCAGTACCACACACACACAAAAAGAAATAAATGAATGAGTCTCATTGTCCTTTATGTAAAACATTCACAGCTTCCATAAGCAGAGTGATTTTGTGTGTTGGTCAGCTGCCCCACTGCGGGGCCAGATGTCTGACGTACAGATTAAAGGAGGAAGTTTATTTGGCTCACAGTTCCGGAGGTTGCACGGCTGACTGGTGCTGTTGCTGTGGGGGTGAGGTGAGGTGGAACATCGTGGCAGAGGGGTGTGATAGAGCAGGGTCGCCCACTTCATGGCATCTGGGAAGCAGAGCAGGTTGGAAAGAGCCCAGAGAGGAAGGCGCTAGGAACCGAAAAAATAGTCTCCGGGTCGTGACCTCATGAGCCACCCAGACACACAGATGTGCTTTAATCTGTGGACATCTCTTAATGCAGTCAAGTTGACAGTCACGATTAACAATCACATTCCAAAAGAAAAGTATATAGCCAAGTCTAGCCTCAAGCTCATGGCGATCCTCCTCCCTCAGCCTCCTGAGTGCTGGGGTTACAGGTGTGTGTCATCACACCCAACATGAAAAATTAGTGTATTTTACTAGCAGATTGTTAGTCAGGAACCTCTTAGCTGAACTGTCTGATATTCCAGTTACTCTTCTCACCAGTTCCTTTAGTCTGGCATATTGATGGACCTTACAAAAATTATTTATAATGTTTTCTTTAAAAATCAATCTGTAAGGATATGGGGGGAGTGGGGTTTTGGGGTTTTTTGTTTTTTGGGTTTGGTCTTTTTCTGGATTAGGAGGGAATTTCTACATGTTTGTAGTAAAACTCTTAATAGAAAGTGAGTCAAGAACACAAGCAGTTAGCTGAATAGGCATTACCTGTTGCTAATGAATATGGGGGCAAGTTTATCCTCACTAGAAAATATTTAAAATGTAGTTAAACTGCAGCTTACTATTTTCACCTGCCAAAAATAGTAAAGTTTTTTTTAAAAGGAAAATACTTCATTGGCAGAACTATATTGAGATTCATAGTCTGCTTTTTGGCATCGTTAAGTTCAGTCATTCTGGTAAGAACGCTGGCGTTTTGTATTAGAAATATTAGTGTTGATTTTTTTTTAGTGAAAGACTCTTTTTGTACATATTTATTTCCAGGAAGATGTTTCTAGGAAATACCACAGTAAAGCAATAAACTTCGAGATACACATACTGCTTCCTTAGCAGTGGACTTTGCAGTACTAAAAAACTGATAGCAACCTAAATATCTCCAGATAAACGGTTAAATAAACGTTGATAGTGTCACGAGTTCTTGCTGCCTCTTCTAAAACCTAGTGGCAGAAAGCTGCATCAGCGCTGCTGTTCACTTAGGCGCCCTGGGGCCGGGCTGTGCAGACATTGTTTATTATTTGCCTGTTTCCTTCACTCCTTAGTCTCTTCTTGTTTTCTGTTTCTTGGACACCAGCAGGTCATAAAACCCTTACTTCTCCATTTCCAGGCCAGTATTCTGTATCACCTAACATAGTAATTTTTGTTAATTTAATGTATGATAAATAGTATCTTATCCCCCAACCTGTAACGGACAAGTTTATCTCTTCACAGCATGCCTATCTGTTGAATAAAGTATTCCTTGTTTAAAAAAAAAAGTTCCTTTCGATGTTTCATCTTATGACAGATGACAGATGCCTTGTGAGCCTTATGACAGATGCCTTAGGAGTCTTACGTTTCACAGTTTTCCCATACCTCAAAGCCAGAACTTCCTGGCCACCCACTTAACTGTTTTGTTAACTGTTAATTGCCATATAGCCAACTTAAAGTGCCACTGTGATATTGCTCTTCACCACTAAATTGACTTCTGTTCTCTGGTCTGCACTGCTCAGTGGGAAGAAAAAATATTTCCCACTCCCCTCATACCCCACACCCCACCCGTGGCTTCTGACACTGCTGCCTCGGGTTTGCTCTTTCTTCACTATACACAGATTTAGCCAGTTTTTCTTGCCTCAAGAGTTTCTCTCAATTTTTATGTTATTTTGACAAATCTCTTTCTTGTTTTGTGTCTTTTCTAAGATTAGATTTAGGATAGAATCTGCAGCCCTCAACCGTGGAAGTAGATTATTTATAACAGCTATTTTTAAAGTCTTTCTAATGACATGGGGAAATGTTCATGAATATAATGATGAGTAAACAGCAGGATACAAAACTGCATGCAGTATAAGCTCAGCTGTTTGTGTATATATAGATATATGTGTTTATGTATAAATGTAAAGAAAAATGCTTATATACCAAAATGTTAGTAGTTATTTATGGGTTGTAGAATTATGGATGGTCCTTGTTTTCTTGATTATCAATTTTCTGTGTGTTTCAAATTCTACTCATCTAACTTTTCTTCATAGGTTGTGTATATTTTAGCCAGGAAATTTCACTTGTAGAAAAAAGATTGTTTTCAGTTATAAAGTAATGTTTTCAGACCATCAGAGCAAGGGATCTTCACGTGTGCCTCTATTTAAGTTGTCCTGTGGGTTTGTCCTTTTAGGTCAGTTTGTGTAGCATTCATCAGCAAAGTTTTGAACCCACTATGAGTTCAGGCCTAATTTTTTTCTAAATAAACTTTATTAAAGTTTATTTTTAAAAAAACAATGTACGGGCTGGGGATATAGCTCAGTGGCACAAGGGCCTGCCTGGCAAGCACAAGGTCCTGAGTTCGATCCCCGGTACTGCCAAAAAAGATGAAAAAATTTAAAAAAAACAAACAAACCATGTACTCTATAGATTTAACAGTTCACATTTTGCCTGACTTGCCTGATCTTTTTCGCTGAAGTGAAAAATAAATTACGTACATCTTGACATTAAACTCCTAAATATGTTATCTCTAAAAGAGGTGTATCTACCAGCCTGCACACATTTAACATTATTAACCACAATTTTTGAGACTGTTATTTAAAAATACATTCTCAAAAGGTTTGTCTTTTCTTCAATCTTCCAAACTAGGATTCTGGGTTTCCGCCGTGCTCCTTTGGTGGTTGGCAGATTTGTTAATCTGCGGACAGAAATCAAGCCTGTTGCCACGGAGCAGCTGTTGAGCACCTTCCTAACTGTAGGTAAGAGGATTATAGAGGACATTTAGCTAGGAGAATAGTTAGTAAGTTAAGTGGGGCACAGCTGAGCAAGCCGGTTTATCTTTTAGGACTTAATGAACTCAAGGGAATCCAAAAACAAATAGGCACACTGGTCTCAGATTAGTAGGAAAAATGGATTTAGAGATAAAGAGGGAAATTGGAAGTTTTCTCCGAATGTACATTGTTGTGCCTCTGCAGTAGGAAATGAGGTCATTTATTTCTTCAAGTTGATCTTACAGCTGAGTCTCAAATTCAGAATTTGCCTAAATCAGTTATTGTTGACATGTCATTGTCTCAGTTATTTTTTCATGAACATGTGCTTTCCTGGGAACTGCCTCCTGTAACCTGAGAATTGAGGGAATCTTCAGGCAACTGTGTAAGAGGATGGTCTCTTGTAGGGTTGCACTTGGGCCTGGAAGGTCACTGCCTTGCTCTGCTCTGTAGGGGTTAGCTCATCGGGTTAGCATGGAGCTGGCTACAGTGCAGCTACCCTCTGCTTTCTCTTTTCTAACTCCGAGGTAAAGGATCTGAGCTAAAATTCCTGTTTATTCCCTCAGCCACCCGCTGGTAACTGTTGGTCTTTTTACTGTCTCCAGAATTTTGCCCTTTCCCAAGTGTCCTCCATTTTCATCCATGCTGCCACAATTGACAGTATTTCACTCTTGTTTTATGGGCGAATACTCTTCTATTGTGTATTTGTACTACACTCTCTTTATCTATTCATTCATTCTTTTGACACATTTGCAAACACCTCGATTGATTTCTTATTGTGGCTATTGTGAGTAGTGCTGAAGTTAAACATGAGAGGATAAAACTGTCTTTGACATATGGATCTCCCTTCCTTTGTAGCGGGATTGCTGGATCATATGATAGTTTTGTAT